GCTTTGACTATGCGGATCTTTGTCGGCAAGGTGACGTCTCTGCTTTTTAATATGCTATTCTTTGTTTATACAAACTCTTTAAAATGTAATCCTTTTTATCTAAGCTTAAACACCCCCCCCCCTTTTTTTTGCAATTGTAAAAATACTAAAAATACTATTTTAAATAACAAACATTTTTGGAGGCAGTTTGTATCTTGGGGCTAATCTAATTACATGCCCCAGAAGGTCTAGGGCTCTACATTGTGGCTACCAGATCCTGATTTAAGGTGCCCTCCCTAGTATTTCCTGTAGCAAAATAAGGATGCATTTTCCTACTTTTGGCCTTGCTACTTTAACCCTGGTTGAGGGAAAGAAGGTGAGGGCAACAAATACCAGTTGAAGGCAATAACTGCTGCATCACTGAAGGCTACCCTAGTCAGATGAGGTAGGTTTGGTGGTGAAAGAAAGCTTAACAGCAGCAATTTAGCAGTGTTCTGAAACTTACCTTCTTCCTCCTCTTCCTCCTCCTCTTCATCATCCTCTTCATCAGAGCTGAAGGTGCCATCAGGCAGGCTATAAACACGGATAACTTGCTTGTTGGGATCCTTCAAGATAAGGTACTTGCCCTCATCCAGTTTCATGCAGATGTCAATGACACAGCGCAGAATGCCCCAGGCATTCTCCATGCTTAAATTAATTTGGCTTGCAAATTCATTGGGTTTGAACTGCTGTGTGCCCAGGATCACATGGCGTGAAGAATCTTTCACATGATATCGGGAGACATATCTAGCGATCATGAAGAAGCAAAAATTAGAAAGTGCAATGATGTAGCTCAACCTAGTAGCAAAAGGAAGATTTCAAGATTTGAAGGGAGATGATTGGACACAGCTAATTATGAAGTTGCAATCTTACCTGTTCCACAAACCATTAAATTTTGGGTAATCTGTTATTTATCTATCTCAATTCTTTCATCTTCGACATATTTATAATGATAGTGACATATTTATAGCAAGATTGAAATATATATAGCTTTAGGAAAACTGGTACTCTGCAGGTGTCAGGCAGTAAGAAGTGGCTTTTCAGAAGTTTGGTATGGCAGTCAATTGGTAGCCACATCTAAAACCCAGGCAGTCCATATTAAGTCCCTTATATTAAAATAAATTAGCTGTGCTTAGCAATTTTGAATTAATTTATACTTTTCGAAGATAACACTGCTTGATGTTTTACAGCCAATATGGCCATCAGATGGGGCCAATAAATCCTTTGGGCTTGTTTGTTCTCCACTTCTGAATAAAGGGCTGAATAGTTCTATTTAAGCAGCAGAACCAATTAACACTGTGCTACTCACTGAATGAAACAAGACTCAAAGCTGACACTAGTATGACACATAAAATGAGCTATGATTTTATGAAAACTTGCAGCCTGATTTTCTTGGATAGACTTTTCTTTCAAACTATTGTTTTAAGCAATGATACCATTATGTTCATCACTATAGTATCACTACATCACTAGCATTTCTACTGAGTATATGGTATAAAAAGTTCTCAGATTAGCAATAACTATCAATGTTGATCAATTAATCAATGTTGAGTTGATTAACATTGGAGATTTCTAAATTTCTAATTCTGAATAACAAGTTAGATAGCTCCTAGTATTTTATTAGGTAGTAACATGATCCAAGTAATTTCAAAGTATCCTTTACTTCATTGTTAGAACAATGTTTACACAAAATAAATAAAAAAGAATATGACAGTCTTAATAATCCATTATGCTTAAAATGTTTCTGTAGAAGCAGTAGCTCCATAAGCAGCTTTAACAAGAAAGCATAAATATAACAATGTCTGCCCACTGCATATCAAGCATATTATGTCCCTCTTCAGGGGCTGGGCATTTGATACCTTTCAATGTAATTAGATTAATTAAAATAGTAATTAAAAGTAAGATGGCTAAAATTGTAGAATTGTAAAAAATGTGTTGCTATATATAATTAATCCTCAAAGGCTGCATTTTCATTTGCTTTTGAAAGGCCATTAGGGTGGGAGTCATCCATGTTTCAGGATGTTACTTCAAGCTATTTCATAGGAAGGGAGCCCAACATCAAGTGCCCTCAGACTGTACATTCTGGTAGGTGGGGATCCTTAGTGGGCATTTTCTAGTTGCTCAAGTAGACCTGGCAGAAATTATTGGGGAAAGGCAGTCCCCAAGACACCTACAGTCTAAGTCATATAGAAGTGTTAATGTGGCTGTACATGACTGGCCATTAAGTGTGTGTGCTGCTGTGGACCAACTGAACTTCTGGGTGATTTTCAAGGATAGCCCGTGTAGACCAAAGTACAGTAATCTGAATTAATCTGGTCTCTGAATCAATGTGTCTGGGTTGAGTCTGAGCCAGTTTTTCCCCTAAGAGCCTTCAGACACTGCGTTAAGATTTCTACATCATCTCCAATATGCCTGGGGTGAAGATGTATAACTGGATATCATCTGCATATTGATACCTCACCCCAAGCCAGTGGATGACCTCTCCCAGGAGTTTCATGTAAATAGAAGAAAGGATTGAACTTTGAGGGACTCCATAACAAAATGCTTGGGGATACAACTTCTTCCAACCACCCTTTGGACCCACCCTCTCAAGTCAGAGCAGAACCACCATAACACCATGCCTCCAACTCCTGATCCAAAGTCAAGAAGGATGCTATGGTCAAAAGCATCAGAAGTCATTGAAAGATCTAGGCTTTATAAACTATTTCTTGGATAACTGTTCTAGAGAGGTTGCTGCAATTCCAAAGATCTGCCTGAAGACTTAGTTTTCTCCTTGTATATCACACAAACCCTTTTTAATATATTTTTTGATCTTACCCCAGTTTAAGATATTCTGATCCAGCCAGCAATGCACAACAAGTCCAACGAGCAAGTTTGTAACTATTATTTTTCAGTTCAGTGGCAATCACAGCTCCTCTCTGGGAGTCCAGCTTTTGACGCCAATCTACTCCATTACAGTGCTAGAAAAATAAGCAAGCGTATTAGGTTTTACACAGCTTCTAAGATCAGGCTATAAAATTGACAAATTCATGCAAATGTATGTATTTCACATGACTGGCAGCATAGAAAGAAGGTAGCATGCTGAACTATCACATTTTTTTTGTTTTGTTTTAGCTTAGCACTCATAAACTATGGCTGTATGGCTTTGCATAAAATGTGAATCCCCACTTTATAGTTTATTCAACAATTATGGCTCAACAAACTATGCGTAATGAACCTGGTTAGTATGACAAGAGAAAGGCAATAGTATGGTATGCACAGATATTCAATCAGTGATGATTAATCATCTTCCATCAAGATGAAGACAAAAAAGGAGATGGAAAACATTCATAAGCTAACACAAGTAATTACAATAAAAAGATTAGTCAGCACAAATAATGTATATACAAAAAACCTATGTAATGCTCATCTAACAGAATCAGTGACAAAGTATATATAGGCAGTCCTCCGTTAGCAACCACAATTGGGATCAGAATTTAGATCACTAAGAGATGTGGTTGTTAAGCAAATCATCACATGACCAGATCTGATTTCATGAACTTTTTTGCGGCAGCTGTTAAGCGAATCACTGCTGTCGTTAAGTGAATCACATGGTCATTAATCAAATCTCACAGTTCCCCATTGATTTTGCTTGCAGGAAGCCGGCTAGGAAGGTTGCAAGTGGTGATCATGTGACCCTGGGGATGCTGCAACCATCAAAAGTGCGAGCTGGTTGCCAAGCGCCCATATCGTGATCATGTGACTGCAGGGGTGCTGCAATGGTTGTAACTTTGGACACTTGCCATAACTCACTCACACTAACTTCGAACGGTCGCTAAAGAACGGTTAAGTGAGGACTACCTGTACATGAATCTGTTCTTGTTTTGATCAGTATCTCAGCCAACATGCTGAGCCACTTTATTATTTCTTACCCTTGAATCCCATTCATTCAGTGTTTTAATGTTGATGAATGATACTTCTCCATTGGCTCCAGTCATCACTCCATCATGCTCACAACGTACTATCAGGTCAATGTCATCTCCCAGCTTCCACCTTCGATACCTACAATCAAATACAGTTTTGCTGATTTCAGTGTTTTAACAGCTGTTTATTTAAACAATGAGTTTCAGTGAAAACTGTAACAGGTATAGAATTTACACCTGAACTAATGGGGATCACCAAGTCCCATCAATGAGCTAGAAGGAACAACGTACCGATATGCAACAGAAGCTACCTCATTCTTATCCATATCGTCTTCCACAAATGGGTTTGGATTGGGAAATGTGTATTTTTCTTTCCCCTATAAAAGAAGTCATGCAGAAATATGACCAACAGCAATAAATATACAATCAAGATAGTAATGTCTGCTTCATAGTTCTGTTTTAGAATCACAAAACTGTAGTTACTGCTTCTTTATCAATCTTTTCCCCAAACCTCTCATAATAGCTTTGGGGTGTCACTGTGTGGATTTCCTCACCATTATATGTAGAATATTTTCTCTGGTCTTAGAGTAAATATTATCTCTAAGAAAAATCTGAAGAACTTATAAAAGCAGAAATAATGGTTCAGAATCCATTTTTGCTGGTTTAATTGGATTACTGCTGGTTGAGCAACATTTTATAGATAAGCATAACACCTCCATCTTGACAAGGTGGGAGTACTGTGATGGAATGGAATTATGAAGGCCAAGCTCAGGGAGACAAACATTTTCTTAGCTCGCCGGAACCGTGTGGGAGGATCAAGACTGGCACCTCCCTGAGGAATTCACACTGTTGTGGCTGGGGGGGTTTGTGGACTGGGGTTTTAGTCTGGGGAGGTTTTTGGTAGAG